ACTAAGTTCCGTTAATGGTACCACGGGAAATTAGAAACAACCAATTGAGTCCTTTGCATAATCAGATTTCTGATTTTTTTTCTTCTTGCTCAAAATGTCCAATTAAGTGCTTCTCCATCCTATGTTATACACTTCTTTTCTGCTTTCCTTGTGTGTGGCATATGTTATATAGGATTTTTTAAAAACATTTTCATTATATTGTTATGAGTCCCTACATTGGGAGAAGGGTGGGAAAATAAAGTATTCAGATGACATTTATGTTTTTCCCCCTGAATATATTATTTATTTTCCCTGTTAATATTTGCATCATTCCTTTGCTGGTGCTGCTACACAGATGACAATACACTCAATATGCATTTCTGCCTAACAAACTGTGCAATGGCGTCTCATTTAATAATTGACTAAAGAGGCCTGAATTAATAACATTCAGAGCCCTGCAGCCTATTGGTATGCAAATTATTCCTTGATCCCTTACTTTGAGAGCACCTTTGGAAGGATTGGAAACTAGACTTTCACACAACCACCTGTTGCACTAGAGGGGGGCCATTAAAAGGTCAAATAAACAAAATTGAAATCGGACATATACTTTTTATTTTGATTTGTTCTGTGAGCTTTTCCCAGCCCTCCAAAATCTACAAACTCGAAACCTACAGGAACACCATATGACCATTTTTACAATGTTTTTCTGATGTTGTTGGTGTGTGCGGAGGGCACAAAGAAGTGCCTTGGGACTGCATGCATTGTAGGGAAGAGGTAGATAGAGAGAGAGGAGAGAAAACAGGGCATAAAGTTTGCAGGGCAGGGGATCACTGCTTTCCACTTTGTACAGATGCCTCTGCAAGGGATATGCAGAGTTTCCCTTCAAGCAAATAATAAAGCCCAACACACAGCAGGTGACTGATTCATTGTGACAACTGCAACCCTTTCCTCTAGTCTCCCAAGTCATGCCCAAATACTGATGCACCCCCGCCCCCCAAAAACCCATGAAAAACAATTAAAGAAGCCTTTTACAAGAGACTGCCTGGGTACAGGTTAGTTAGCCATACTTCTTCCATCATGGATCTTTTCCACCAAATGTGATCTACCTGGAATGAGGAAAGCAAATGACATAAATCCCCTTTCTTCTACTACCCCCGTCCAGTTGACTATGCAACACTCCTACTGCCAGATCAGCAAATAAGTGGAAACCCAAGCATTTCCCATAAAAAGCAACACTCAAAAAACAGGGGAATTCCAGACAGAAATCAATCAGGGCCAGCTAACACCTCCCAACAAAGGATCCCCCAGGCAAGAAGAAACTAAGCTTTGAAGGCCATTCAATGCTAATCAAGCTAGCTAATTGCAACATTCACGCTTGTCTCAAGGAGACAAGAGTTCTTTCTCCCACCCTGGACATTCCACAGATATATAAACTCCAATTGCCTAGTTTCCAACAGACCTCACAACCTCTGAGGATACCTACCATAGATGTGGGCAAAATGTCAGGAGAGATTGCTTCTGGAACAGCCCTCCGGCCTGTAGCGAGGGGGGGGGTTTTAGGGGTTCAACCCCCCCCCCCCGAAATGTTTCAGATTTTTTTTTTAAAAAAACTGGTTTACTCATGAATTTTAACTGGTTAACCAAATCCCCATGCTAAGTCTATGAGATGCAAAAACTTAAGAGTCCCTCCAGAACTGCAAGCACTATCTCAAGCAAATATTGACAATTTATTCACACTGTCATTACTTGCAGCAATAGCCGATGTAGTGAAGCAACCAAGTTGGGGGTGTGTGTGTTGAATGTTCTCATTAAGGAGGCCAGACTTGGTGGAGGTGGTTGACAGGGGCGGAGCTGCAGGCTATTGAAGGCTGCTCTGCCCTCTGCTGTGCTCTTTGCTTCAGTGTGAGCTAGGAGGCAGGTTTCAACACCCCCAGGGGCGGCTCACCTATTACGCAAAGTAAGCATTTGCAGTATAGTTGATTTTGCCCAGGGGCGCTCTTGAGGCGCTCTTGGGGGAAAATAGACCTTGACATATGCGAGTTGTAGTTACTGGGATGTATAGTTCACCTACAATCAAAGAGCATGCTGAACTCCACCAATGATGGAATTGAACCAAATATGGCACACAGAACTCCCACGACGAACAGAAAATATATATCAGTGATTGGTTGGAGGGGGGCAAAATACTGTTTGCTTACCATTGAAAATTACCTAAGGCCGCCTCTGAGGGTAGTGAGGGGCCAGAATTTCAACCCCCCCCACCCCCCCCCCCCCGAAAATTTCAACCCCTCCCGAAATTTTTTCCAGGCTATGGCCCTGGCCATACAGCCTGGAAAACTCACAGCAACCTAGTGATTCAGCCATGAAAGCCTTCAACAACACATTTCCCATCCAGTTCAAACCTTGCATTCTACAAAAGGGACTGTGTTCCCTTTTGTTTCTCATTCTTCCCCTCTGCTAGCATTCTTCAGGGCAGCAAAAGTTCTGCTTTCTTCACCTTTTGGATCAAACCATATGACAGCAACATTAGGGGCAACTGCAAGTGCTAGAGACCAAGGACAAAGATGTGTGTCTCCAGATGTGGGTCAACTCTGGGTCAACTCTTCCCGATATTGGTTAGGAGTGATGGATCTTGCAGCTAACAGCATCTGGTAAAGCACATGTTTCAAATTCTTACTAACACATAATATTGTACTAGAATGGACCAACTACCTGAGCACCCAACATCTTGTGCTTAGAACTCATAACATTTATATTTTGGGGATTGAGACACTGAGTTAATGGGGAACATTAGAAAAAGTCAGGCATGGGCAAACTTTGGCTCTCCAGGTGTTTTGGACTTCAACTCCCACCATTCGTAACAGCCTCAGGGCCCTTCCTTTTCCTCCTCAGCCACTTAAGCGGAAAGAAAAGAAAGGAAGGGGCCTGAGGCTATTAGGAATGGTGGGAGTTGAAGTCCAAACATCTTGAGGGTCCAAGTTTTCCCATGTCTATCATAAGTGGAAGCCAACTGGATGGTAGTTTACAACAACCACTTCTTAAAAATTGCTCATCCAAACTCTGCTCATCAAACTATCATATCTGTTTGGGACAGTCTTTGCAAATCTTCAGGTGCAATAGTGGGTTTTGATTTAAGGCACTCTTTTAAAAAAGGGCAGTCAATAAACTCGCAATAACAAAAGGGGGAGAAATCCCACACAACCAAGCAGTTAACAGGCACCTTGTAATGAGTAACTTGCATCGAAAGTTTGAGGAGAGGAGGCAGGGCCAAAGGGAGCTAGACTCCTTCGGGTATCTTCTCTGTTCAGAGCCGTCAAATTCTATGAGGAGTGGGGGCATAGTATTTCTTTCAAAGTAGCCGCCTGCCCAGTCCCTGCATCACCTGGGCTCCCAAGGGCTGCAAGTGGGTCCTTCCCAGGGCCCTGGGGCGAGGTGTCCTTTGGGGGCTGGAAATAAACAGGGACATAGACTCACCGAATCATAGAATCATAAAGTTGAAAGAGACCATGGATCATCCAGTCCAACCTTATGCCAAGAAGCAGGAAAATCGCATTCAAAGCACCCTGACTTTTCGCCATGGGCCCTGGAAAGATGGTCTCGCTTGAGCAGCGGCGAAGGGAAGAGGCAGGAAAGGCCTAAGCATTGATCTACGCTGTAGAATTCATGCAGGTCAACACCACTTGAACGGCAATAGCTCAATGCTCTGGACTCATAGAAGCTGGAACTTTCTTACAACAGTGGTTTTAACCAGTGGGCAGCAAAGACAAAAATCTGGCCCACAAACCTCTTTCCTCTTTATTTTATTTAGTTTATTTCCACTCCTTTCATGCCACCTGCCACTCCTTCCCTGTTGCTGACCATGGCATATGTTCTGTATCAACAACTAGAGCTGATGTGGTCTATTTTTTCTTTCCGCTTAAGTGGCTGAGGGGGAAAAGGAAGGGCCCTGAGGCTGTTACGAATGGTGGAAGTTGAAGTCCAATACAACTTCTCAAATTGGCACCCCAAATTGACTCTAAAGTTGACCAAAAACTGATTCGTAACCCTTTTGGTACTAATGTTGGAGAGTGGTCAGGAAAATCGCATTCAACGCACTCCCAACAGACAGCCATCCAGCCTGTTTCAAAGCCTCCTAAAAAGGAGCCTTTACCACACTCTGGGACAGAGAGTTCCACTGATGAACAGCTCTCAGAGTTAGGAAGTTCACAGAAACATGGGATAATTGAGTTGGAAGAGACCACATGGGCCATTTAGTCCAACCCCATTCTGCCAAGAAGAAGAAAAATTGCATTCAAAGCACCCCCAACAGATGGCCATTCAGTCTCTGTTTAAAGACCTCCAAAGAAGGAGTCTCCACTACACTCTGGAGCAGAGAGTTCCACTTCTGAACAGCTCTCACAGTTAACAAGTTCATAGTAGCATAGGATCACTGCGTTGGAAGAGACATCATGGGCCATTGAGTCCAACCCCATTCTGCCAAGAAGCAGGAAAATCGCATTCAAAGCACTCCCCCAACAGATGGCCATCCAGCCTATGTTTAAAAGCCTCCAAAGAAGAAGTCTCAAACACACTCCTGGGCAGAACGTTCCACTACTGAACACCTCTCACAGCAAGTTCATAGAAGCATAGGATCATTGCGTTGGAAGAGACCTCGTGGGCCATCCAGTCCAACTCCATTCTACCAAGAAGCAGGAAAATCGCATTCAAAGCACCCCTGACAGATGGTCATCCAGCCTCTGTTTTAAAGCCTCCAAAAAAGGAGCCTCCACCACACTCCGGGGCAGAGAGTTCCACTGCCGAACAGCTCTCATAGTTAGGAAGTTCTTCCATAGTTCCTTCCACATCTCTCCACCCGAAACTATGGTGTGTTCCCCCACCCTCTCTCCAAGCCATGTTCTCCACAACCTTGAGGCACTGGGAGTGAGGAACAGACTTCAATAGATCTAAGTCGGCGAGGAGAGTGTTCATAATAATCCAGAGGAGCCCAAGTGCGCCCGCTCTGCTCAGGCCTGCCTTCCTACCTGCTGCCTCCTCTCTCTCGCCAGCCTCCTCCGCCTCCTCCTCGCCTTCGCTGCTTCTCCCTTTTGGTCACTTTCCTCCCTTTGTATCTCCCCCTCCTCCTCCGGAAGGAGGAGAACAAAAGGGGAGCCACAAAAAAGAAGGTGGAAGCGGGCAGGCGCGGAGCCCAAACACCGGCAGCCAACGCGGAGGGGATCCGCCTGCTCCGCCCCTTCGCTACCTTGAAAAGGCCGCCCTCCTCCTCCTCCTCCTCCCTCCCCTCCCCTTTCCGCAACTTTGGGACGGTCCGAACGGTCCCTTGCCAAAGGAGGGGCGAACCATTTGCACCCAGATTGGGGGGGGGGGGAGAGGGTTGTGTGTGAGCGGCGGTCATTCATTAGGCGAGCGGCTTTTAATTGCGGGCTGCACCTTTGGCGCCCTAATTGGGCAGAAAGAGAGCCCGGGTCCGTGCTGGAGGGCACGTCCTCGCTGAAGTTTTTGAGTTTTTCTATGGGGAAGGTCAGGCATGGGCAAACTTGGGCCTTCCAGGTGCTTCGGACTCCAACTCCCCCCATTCCTAACAGCCTCAGGCCCCGGAGGGGGCAAAGTAAAAGGACAGGGCCTGAGGCTGTTGGAATGGGGGGAGTTGGAGTCCGAAGCACCTAGAAAGCCCAAGTTTGCCCATTCGCATATAAGGCAATCAGAAGGCAACATGAGCCAGGCATACTCACTATCCCACTCGAGGAGGAAAGACTGGAGGGGGCAAAGTAAAAGGAAAGGGCCTGTTAGGAATGGTGGGAGTTGAAGTCCAAAGCACCTGGAAGGCCCAAGTTTGCCCATTCACACATGAGACAATCAGAGGACAACATGAGCCAGGCATACTCACTATCCCCCTTGAAGAGGAAAGACCTGAGGGGCAAAGAAGGTTCAACACAGGAATTGGGAAGAAGGCCTCAGCTGGAATGCCAGCTATGCAGAGGCTGGGGGGGGGGGGGGGCTCCACCTACCTGCAGCTGCTTCCCTCCTCTTGGCTCCCGAAGGAGCAGGAAAGGAGTCCCTTGAAGGCCCACCAAGAAAGTATCCTGGCCCCCAAGGGATGCTGAGGGAGCCGCAGAGAGGAAACCCGGCTGGTTCGACAAGTGGAAGCCTGCCTGGTTGGGAGCAGGCCTCTGCACGCCCAAGACGCAGCCAAAATATCCGCCCTGCGGCTACTATATATTTCTACAACAGGAAGGAGGAGGAAGAGGAGCCCTGAGGGAGTCTCTCACAGAGGGATCCCCTTTGGAGCATAAATTCTGCCCTCACTTCCAACAAAAATTGTGGCGATCCTTCACCATCAGATAGTAAACACTTAAAAGAAACACGCTTCTGAAGAGAGAGAAGTTCTTGTTATGTTGTGTCTGATATCAGGAAAATGAACCCCCAAATTATGAGGAAATACAAAACAAGAGATTGCGGCTCCATTCATTTCCGATGTATGGCTTATTTCTTTATTGTATCAGGAGCGAACCAATGTACAGTGTTTCCTTGCTACTTCGCGGTTCGCTTTTAGCGGACTCACTGTTTTGCAGTTTTCAAAAAATATTAATTTAAAATATAATATATTTTCGCTGTTTTGCGGGTTTTTGCCACCACCACTCTCCGAGGCACGTTCCCTGTTCTGTTCCCTCAAAGTGTGACATGAAAGTCAGAGTTGAGAAAGATTTGCCTTTTGTCTGAAGGCAGAAACTAGTCTTTGGTGGAATAAAAGTAAGACTATGCAGAAGTATTTCAAAACATAAAATAGCTAGATCGGGCTGTGTCACTACTGACTAATACTTCACCTACACCAATTTGCATCCGTCTGGTGGGTGAGAAGCCCCTGCTAGAAGGAAACTAATGCTACAATAGCAGCATCAAATAGCATGGGGAAGAACATCTCCCAACAAAGGATTTCCCCAGGCAGCATCCAGCCAGGCTTTGAAGCTGCAAGGCCATTAAATGCTAATCAAAGTGGCCAATTGCAACATTCACACTTGATTCCCACATTTAAAAAATCTACTTGGCCATTTCATGTAATGTGTGGTAGAGAGCACCCTCTCTCTTAGATTCAGTGTGCTTTTGATTTGTCAGATCTTGTAGAAGAGGTCTCTTTTTCCTTTTTCCTTACCATCAATTTCTCAGCACTGACTATTATAGTTCTCCTTGTTCCTGTGCACAAGTTGTTTCTCTTTCTCTTTCATTTTACTATTTCTTCTTGACTGCTTCAAGGTGGTGGAGGCTCCTTCTCTGGAGGCTTTTCAACAGAGGCTGGATGGCCATCTGTTGAGGGTGCTTTGAATGTGATTTTTCTGCTTCTTGGCAGGGGGATTGGACTGGATGGCCCACGAGGTCTCTTCCAACCCTATGATTCTTTGAACCTATGATTCTAAGACAAGAGTTCTTTCTCCTACCCTGGACCTTCTGCAGATATATAAACCCCAATTGCCTAGTTTTCAACAGACCTCACAATCTCTGAGAATGCCTGCCATAGATATGGGCAAAACGTCAGGAGGGAATGCTTCTGGGACATGGCCATACAGTCCGGAAAACTCACAGCAACCCATGAAAGCCTTTGACAACACATCGGGAAGAATATTTCTTCCTGTTAATTGGGTTTTTCAGACAGTGTTTCAAGGATGCATTAGCTGCATCCTCAAATTGCCTGCTACCATCCATTGTTATCAGCATTGTCATCTCATTTTCCTGTTTTCTTCTGGATTTAGATCTTCAATTGTCCCAATCCCACACTCAAATGATCATGCCACACTGGCTCAAACTCCATGAATCTACTCTATTTGGGACTACCAACTGGATTCAGGCCATTCCATGCTCCTAATGCCATTCTAGAGCAAACTGAATAATTTCATAAACAATATAATTGAACATCTAGTAAAATTTTAAATGTGGGAAGGGATAAATATGTAGCTGATTTGCAGAATGCAAGCCTTACGCTGGATGGGAAATGTTTGGATTCCCCTCTCTTGTCAAGACTCACAAACTCATAGAGTTGGAAAAGACCACACAAGGGTCATCTAGTCCAACTCCTTGATACCCTATGTCCTTTTGAGAATGCCTATGTTAGTACAAAATGTGGGCCTTTGCTGGAACCACACATAAGAAAACCAGAGGATACCATGTGTACGCATGAGGATGCTCAGTTTAAGTTATAACTTATAACCCCATCTCAACACAGAATAGTTATAGGTCCATTAATATTATAGTTTGGACTTCCACAAAACCCAATGAAATCTCCAGCTTTTTATTATTTCCATCAAGAGATGAGGCCATGAGATCCTGAGGTTCTCTAATAGGTACCTTCAGTCCTAAAAGGTAATGGTAAAGGTTTCCCCTGACATTAAGTCTAATTGTGTCCGGCTCTGTGGGGTGGTGCCCATCTCCATTTCTAAGCTGAAGAGCCAGTGTTGTCCGTAGACACCTCCTAGGTCATGTGGCCAGCATGACTATATGGAGCGCTGCTAGCTTCCTGCAGAAGTGGTACCTACTGATCTACTAACATTTGCATGTTTTCGAACTGCTAGGTTGGCAGAAGCTGGGACTAACAGCAGGAGTGCTCCCCGCATTCGAACTGCCAACCTTTCCGTCAGCAAGTTCAGCAGGTCAGTAATTTAACCACTGCATCACGGCCCGTCTTAGGATGTCAATAATCCGTAAAAGGGGAGGAGGGGAGGGCAATCCATCAATGCTTACAATATAATTGACTCTGCTTGTTTTTCCTGGCTGTGATCTATCTTTCGTAAGCAGCTTTCTTCAGTAGCTTCTTGCTTGTGTTAAGCAAACACTAGCAGGAGTAAGCATTAAGATCAGTAGTTTCCTAATAATTGAATTCTTTGTTACAAACTTACCATTAGAGAAACATTCAGATAAGACTGTTCACAGTATGTGATTGTTTTACTGCCGTAAATGTAACAGCCTTGTTTTAGGTATGCTTGTGGCATACAACCAAAAAGGATAGGAAATGTTCTGATGAAACTTTTTAAAAACTTAATTCATCCATGACTCTCATGGTACTGAAGATAATGCATATACATATGAACCAATTTTGGAGCATTTTTTTCCTGTTCCAAAACTGTTGTATTACACAGTGTTGGGAGCCCATTCTGTGCAATCTCCCATTCAGTCAATGACACAAATGGATGAGAATTTGTGGCCCTTCAGATATTACTGAATCCCAAGCCAGCATAGTCGGTTGTAAGGAATTCTGGGAGCTGCACTTCAATAACATCTGGTGGATCACAGGATATAAATTGTGAATATCAATAGTGTGGTGTTCTAATAAAGTCTGGACAGGCAATTTAATATAGAGACTATCGATAATTCTTAATCTCCTACTCTGAACAAGGAGCTAAGGACTAGATGGCCTACAACACTTGTTCCAATTTTATCACGCCATGATGCAGTATCATGTTGTCCATAAATAGTGCTATGATCACACCCTATCCTTTATCATAGACAAAAGCCTGGACTTGGCTTTGTACACAGAAGACAAGCTGAAGCTACATCAATTAAATCAGAATATGAACATTTACCAGGAAACCTTCAATAGAATAATGATATAGATGTACAAACAAATATGCAGGTTAACCGCGAAGTCTGAACCGCAGACACAGCATTTAGAAAACGTATTTAAAAATATGAATTAAGGCCTGGACTTTGTCAACTTTAAATAAGTCTCCGAGGAGAGAGGTTGAGGAGTGCATATCAGAATTTTCCTGTCTGGTTCTCAGCCTGCTTCTGGGCTTACTATCTCACACTCCGTTATACATCCACACAGGCCCATAGCCAGGATTTTGATTGGGGGGGGGGGGGCTGAGTCTGAGTGAAAGAAGGTCTACCCTAGCAAACCTTTTGTATCGTTATCCCAATACCCCCATGCATATGGGATATATTGAGCATGGTGATGACATCATGATATGAATAAACATAACAGTTTAAATAATGTATCAGTAAGGCCTTCTCACGGACCACCATGAGAATTTCGGGGAGGGGGTGAAGCCCCTCAACCCCCCCCCCCCTACATGCCTGCATCCACATTGCTTCCATGTACAAAGTGGCAGACCTTTTCCTCAGATGGCTCCCTATGCCATCACTTGTGGCATACAGGCAAGTTTGCCAAGCGTAGTTTATATCACTTTTTGGGCAGGATACAATTTATTTATTTATTTACTTACTATATTTGTATCCTGCCTTTC